GGCCCGATGCAGCCGCTGGCTCCCGGATCCGCTTCCACCGCCTCGTGGGGGCCCGCACCGCCGGCCGCTACAAAACGCGTCACTTCCGGGGCTTAGCCGCTCGCCACGAGGGTGGGTTAAACCTGATGGAGGGAGGAATGGGCGGGGGGGGGTGTTGAATGCGTCATTCGGCCACGCCGGAAGTGCGACACTGGTGGTGGCAGGACGGGGAAGTGGAGTAGGACCGGGACCGGGGACCGAGGGGCTTCTGGAGCTGAGCCCGCCCGCCCGCCACCATGACCCGCGAGCTCATCGGCCCCGCGCTGCCGCCCGGCTTCTCCCGCCACCCCGAGGCGGACCCGGATGAGGACTTCAGTCAGGGTGAGGCGCGAAGGCCCCAACGACTCCGCGGCCGCCCGCCTCAGGCCGCCTCTCCCCGCTCCGAGCCCAACGGCTCCGCGGCCCCCCTCCCGCCCGCCTCAGGCGGCCTCTCCCCGCTCCGGGCTCGGGCGGCGTGTCTCTGTCGTCCCCCCCAGCACGTCGTGTGTGTGTGTGTCCTGCCTCTGTGGGCGATTGTGGCCCGGCGGGGGCCTCGGGTACGGGAAGGGTGGTGTGGTACGGGTACGGGAAGGGTGGGCGTTAAGGCAGCTCTGGCAGCTGGCGTTTGGCAGCTGGGTCTGTGGTGCCCTGCTGGAGATAACCTTTGTGGGTGGTTTTTATACTGACTTTTTCAGGAAAAAAATTAATATATTAGGTTATTGGGGAGTTCTACAGATATCAGACGGTTTTAAGCTTGTTTTTAAAAAGCTAGTGCATTGATTCGGTGATGATTTGCCTGCTGGAGTCCCGTCTGCACTTTTAGGCCTGCGTTCTTCAGTAGCTCTGCATGTGAAGTTAGTAACTTAGAAGGACAGCAGAAAAAGGCGGTGGTGAGGTCTTTGCAGCATGCCCTCCTTTGTCAAACCAAAACATTTGATGAAGCTTTCATTTTTCCAGTCAGCTTTCCTCGGGATGTGGAACTGGCCTGTGGTGGGTGAGGCTGTGGTGCCTTCCCTGCCAGGGCCTTGGGTGCTGAGAAGTGGGATCTCTCTGAGACCAGTGGACTGCCAATCTGGCTCTTCTGGAGCACAGCTCAGTTCCCCCCACTTAAACTCTTAGATGTTCTGTATCAATAATAGCTCTGGAAGCAGCACTTTGAGCCTTCGTACTCCCTCTCTTTAATCCAAGTTCAGATCACTTGTGTTACATCTATTCAGTTTCCGGCAGTATTTCAAAGATCGCCCCGTTATTCCAATCAAAACAGCTCCCATGGAAAAGGTTTTCTGTGCTCATCTGCTCTTCTCATTTTTCAATCCAGGAGAGGGAGCAGTAGGAAGAAAGAATAAAGCTGCTGCCTTAGCTGACACCATAGCAACATCAAGCTCCGAGTCTGTAGCTTGGCTTTCTTTGTACTGAAGCTCTGACTTCACACTTGTTTGAGCTGAGGCAGCCTCTCCTATTTATCTGTGTGTCGACGGCTTATTCGCTTTCTTTCTATCAACATACTGATATATGTTGCAAATATCTGTGTTGTGTATGAATCCACTGAACAAAGTAAGTTAAGCTTATCATCTGGTTTTGTGATACCAAGTGTTTTGGCAGTATCTAATCTGGGTTATTGAGCCTAGTTTGTCCGCTTTTTGTCCCAGTGTACATCAACTCCATAGTAGTACAGTTGCACTGACAAATCTTATTGGGGATTTCTGTGTGAAATGGATGAAGAAATGTATTTGCCTTAAAAAAAAAAACAAACCAACAAAACAAAACCAAAATTAAATCCATTCAAACAAACAGTTCAGGGCTGACAAAAAGTTAAGGCACGTGATAAAGGGCATTGTCCAAATGCCTCTCAAATACTGTCAGGTTTGGGGCATTGACCACCTCTCTAGGAAGCCCATTCCAGTGTTTGACCAACCTCTTGGTAAAGAGATGCTTCCTAGTGCCCAGTCTAAACCTCCTTCAGTGTTCACCAATGCTGAATACAGTGGGATAATCACCTGTTTTGACCAGCTGGTTATGTGTGTCTGATACACCCCAGGATGCCATTTGTCCTCTTGGCTGCCAGATAAGCATTTGCCTTCTGTCTGCGATGTGACATTGTCATGCTGGATGTAGTGAACAAAATAAACGTCTCTTGAGCCATTCCTAAATTTGCATTTCTTTCATTTTTATATGGATAAGTGAATCATGGAATGGTTTGGGTTAAAAGAGATGTTTAAAGATCATCTAGTTCCAGCACCTGACATAACAGATGTGTTAATAGTTATAACTTAGCATGCAAATTCTTGCCTTTTTTTTTTAATGAAGAAAAACAGAAGATGTAGTAAATATAGCTTGTGTAATCACATTGATTTTAACATGCGGTGTTTGCCATTGTGAAACATGAGCAGAGTTAACAGCTTGATTCTTAGTTTCCTTGTGCACCTTTGCCTCGAGGAATGGGCGGGGGGGGGTGTTGAATGCGTCATTCGGCCACGCCGGAAGTGCGACACTGGTGGTGGCAGGACGGGGAAGTGGAGTAGGACCGGGACCGGGGACCGAGGGGCTTCTGGAGCTGAGCCCGCCCGCCCGCCACCATGACCCGCGAGCTCATCGGCCCCGCGCTGCCGCCCGGCTTCTCCCGCCACCCCGAGGCGGACCCGGATGAGGACTTCAGTCAGGGTGAGGCGCGAAGGCCCCAACGACTCCGCGGCCGCCCGCCTCAGGCCGCCTCTCCCCGCTCCGAGCCCAACGGCTCCGCGGCCCCCCTCCCGCCCGCCTCAGGCGGCCTCTCCCCGCTCCGGGCTCGGCAGCCGGGCGGCTGGAAAAAAAAAACAAACCAACAAAACAAAACCAAAATTAAATCCATTCAAACAAACAGTTCAGGGCTGACAAAAAGTTAAGGCACGTGATAAAGGGCATTGTCCAAATGCCTCTCAAATACTGTCAGGTTTGGGGCATCGACCACCTCTCTAGGAAGCCCATTCCAGTGTTTGACCAACCTCTTGGTAAAGAGATGCTTCCTAGTGCCCAGTCTAAACCTCCTTCAGTGTTCACCAATGCTGAATACAGTGGGATAATCACCTGTTTTGACCAGCTGGTTATGTGTGTCTGATACACCCCAGGATGCCATTTGTCCTCTTGGCTGCCAGATAAGCATTTGCCTTCTGTCTGCGATGTGACATTGTCATGCTGGATGTAGTGAACAAAATAAACGTCTCTTGAGCCATTCCTAAATTTGCATTTCTTTCATTTTTATATGGATAAGTGAATCATGGAATGGTTTGGGTTAAAAGAGATGTTTAAAGATCATCTAGTTCCAGCACCTGACATAACAGATGTGTTAATAGTTATAACTTAGCATGCAAATTCTTGCCTTTTTTTTTTAATGAAGAAAAACAGAAGATGTAGTAAATGTAGCTTGTGTAATCACATTGATTTTAACATGCGGTGTTTGCCATTGTGAAACATGAGCAGAGTTAACAGCTTGATTCTTAGTTTCCTTGTGCACCTTTGCCTCAGAAGGTGAGGGAGTTACTAAGGCAAAGTGTCAGTTGCTGCTCTGCTTTTAGGTCAGCACAGGGGGAGCCAAAATGGACTTTGCCAGGAGATGCCAATGTCCGTTGGGAGTCAGAGAACTGACACTACTCAAACAGTGTGACCCTTAATCAGGACCAGGATGGGAGCAAACAGTAGTTGGACAGACTCAAAAGCTCGTCCCTGGTAAATCCTTTACCTTTCCTTCTTCAGCTTGTCACCGCCCAACCCATGGGACACACTCATCTCCTGATTCTTATTTTCATGATGATACTTGAAAGCTGGCCTGAATGTTTTCCTGCTGGAAGAATCACAACTCCTTTGGCCCCTTTCGTCCCTGCTTCTGTGCTGTCCTTGTACCAGCAGGAGAGAAATGCTGAGAATTGCTAAAAATAGCCAGAGATGCAGGAGGGGGCTTTGCCTGTTTCAGCATCGAGGTCGCATTTGCTAAAGTACAGATGAGTTGATGTGATGTGTCTGAGTTGATCTGTCACTGTCGCTGAAGGTGAAAGGCCTTGCTCCTGTCTGCCCTTGAGAGGATCCCAGTGCCTGTCTGATGGCATGGTAGATTGCTTAGGATCACCAAATACAGCAGAAATTAACCTAGCAAAAACAACAAAAAGCAATTTTTCATTTGGTTTCTGAATTGAATTGGCTTAATTTTCAGGCGTATAGTCACCAGAGCTGGCTCAACGCAGAGGTCACCTCAGAGCAACTTCAGATGGCTACTTCTAGCAGCTGTGAATCATTCACTTCACTCTGACTTGAGATGTATCCTTGGCTCTGTTTCTCTCCTCTCTGTCCCCAAAATTTTCTTCTCATGCTTTCTTATCCCGGTGTCCTGCTCTGAGCTGTTCTGACTTCTGGTTACTTCCTTGCTTTTCCTGTTGTTCTGCCATTGCTGCATCCATTCCTCTTCCTCACCTCATTGATTTTAGTTTTCTGACACTCTGAGCTCTCCTGCGTTTCATTCACAGAATTCTCATTAGGTCTTGGCCTCCCTCCTTACCTTTTCCTTTCTTTGCTCCCCCAATCTGTGCTTAGCAATTCCTGTTTCTTCCTCTCTACTCTTTCCTGCAGCTCCCCACTTCACCCCAATCCATAGCTGTAGCCTTGTCTGTGCTGATTATTTGTCTCAGTCAGTACCATGACCGTATTAATTTTTAATCCCCACTCTCCTGATTCTCCTCCTCTGCTTTCACCATGTCCAATGATTTTTCCTTCCCCAGGCTTTAAATGCCATTTTCCCTTTGTGAATCTGTCTCTGTTTTGTTTCTGGTTGTCCTTCTTGGGCTGCGGTTCCACGAACAAACAGTTCTTCCAGGGGAGCCCTGGATTTTGCAGTGTTATTTTTATGCATCCTAAGTTCCCTGATCCAGTTTGTTGCGTAGCCCACGCAAACAGTTGTGTCGCCCTGACAGGAGAGAAATTGGGATAGGGAGCATGTATGTTAGCCCTGATGGTGGACAGCATGTCAGTGAGACCAGTCTCCTTCCTTAAATAGTTTGGGTTTCCATCTTCTTTCCAGCTCACAAAGCTGCTCGCAATTTGTCTCTTCCTCTGCAGTATCAGCTGCAGCTCAGTTTGCTCCTTTCACTCCGAGTCTTTTCTCAAATCTATCTGCATTCAGAGCAGATGAAGCTCTGCTTTCATGGTATCAGGGCATCAGGTGGCTGGAGAAAGCTGTTGTGTGGGATTTGTCTGGTTTTTAGGTGCTTTTCATCCAGTTGTGTTTCTCATACCAAGAAGGGAGACTTCTTGATAGCAGTCTTTATTCCTATTTATCGTTCATCTGTTAGTTCCCTCTCATCTTGAACTTACTTTACCTTTATAGGCTTGAGGCATTGTGGTATTTTCCTTCTTAGTGCTGAAATGGATTTTTATGTCCTGGTCGCAGTCTCTCCCATTAAAACAGAAAACAAAAAACAGTGGCAGATGTGTCTGGATGCTTTGTAGCTGGTAGACTGTCCTTGTTCTGTGTCTTGTGCTGAAGATAAGTAAAAGCTTTATGAAGCTCACTTGAAGGACTCAATTTCTGCCTATCCTTTGTCAGCTAACAATGGCACCATAATCTGTATCAGGTTTTATTTTGCACTATCAAAAACTCGTAGTTCTTTAACTGGAGATGTAATTTCCTGGTACACTTCATTTATGTGGTTTTATTGCACCTCATCTTTTCATCTAACCCTTGACTTTTCATAAAGCTAACAATGCCCTTTCCCCGCCAAACCATCTTTCTGTCCTGTCAGTCTGGGACTCAATACTTGAAATATTAAAAGGAGGGATGGTGTCTGTATTTCAGGATGCTAAATCATCAGTAGGATCAAATCTCCATGATATCGGATGGCTCTTCGTGCTGTGTGTGTAAAGGGGTGCTGGCCCTGCGTGCGCTGCCCTGCATCTGGGGACCATTGCTGGCCTTTGTTTACTCCAGCTGGCTCTGTATCGATGGAGCGTGTGAGGGTGTCTCTTTTGGGGGAGTATTTGCTGTTAGGATCAGTGGCTCAGCTACTTTTGGACCCATTGTACATGGTACTATATCCAAATAAGTCTATAACAGACTGTGCTTCTGGTGGGGACAGTACCAGAAAATGCTGAGGCCTGTTAGCACTGCTACCATCTGAATTTTTCCATTGCCCCCCTCCTCATTACTCCAGAGGGTGAAGCTCCATGTGCTGCCCCAGCTTCTGACAGCAATGATTCTTTGAAATCAGAATGCCTAAATCATCCCTTTTTCAGCAGAGCACTTAAGTCTGTGCCTGCACTTCACGTTTAGCTGAACTGGGAATAACCTTAATTGTTGAAGCATTCCTAAAGCAGGCTGGCAATTAAATTCCACTAATCTAGGGTCTCCCATTCTGTCTACGTACAAATGATGTGATTCCTCACTAATGAGCTTCTAATGCTTTATTAAAGTGATAGTTTCTTTTAAATGTACCGGTTTATACTATATGCATTGTAAATCAGTTGTGAGATAAAGTAGGGCTTTCTAGTCCTGTTCCAGATGACACTCGTGTAGTAATGGATTAGTAATGTGCTAATTTAATTAGGGAGGGGGGGTTGTTAATTGAAATACGGTGCTGAAAAAAGTAACTTCCAGAAGTTTGTTTAGATGCCTCCTCTAAATACTAGACAGAGCAATGATTGAATAGACTTCATTCCAGATAGATACGTGTTTTGGGGATAGTAAGATAGATTGGAATGTTTAATTTGGAATGTTTAATAAGTATCCCATGTAACTCTGGATGTTCAGTCGCAGGACCAGCGCTGCCTCCAGGCTATAAAAGCAGCTGTAGCTCAGAAACTCCTGACAGTGATGATGACTCCGAATCTCTTCCTCCAACCAGAGACACAAACAGAGATTCTGAAGAGGAGACAGAAGGAGATCCAGCACCCAAGTGAGTATGTTCTTAGGCTATTTGTATATTTCCGTTGTATTGTAAATGAAATGTGTCTGCATAAATTTTGACAAAAGGACAGTATTATATCACTAGAAAGGTAAACCCTGTACCTTTTCACATACAGAACCCTGTATGTAAAACTTGGATGATGTGTTCTGCATGTTCTTTGCAGTCAAGAAAGTTCAACCAACCCATTTGACACCCTTGAGTGGAATTAAGTCATTTAGGGCAATCAGATCTCTGTATGTACATGTTTTATTTTAGTTCTGCAATTGAAGTAATAAAGTCCTTAGTATTTTTCTTGTTTATACTAAGGACAGACACCACTTATCATGTATATAAGTATTTGGTACTTGAGTTTTGCCATGTTTCTGGTCATTGAGAGGTCATAAGAAATATTTATCGGCATGAATTTATGAATTCAATTAAGTCACCTCTAATGGAAAAAAAAAATCAAATTATTTAGCAAATAACAGGATTCTGCACATACTCTCATTTGGTGGAGTTGATTACTCACAGTTGCTGTGTTAAGACATTTGTGTTTGTGCTAGGCCTTGTATAAAGGACTTGAAGGGCATTATGCCATATTAATGAGTGTTAGAGTAATTATTGCTCACTTTTCTCCTGTTGTCTTATTCAACAGTTTTTCAGTTCAGTAGAACTGAACTGGGAAATATACTAGTCAAAATGCAGACAATATAAAAAAAAAAAAGAAACATGGAGAAAGAAGTGTGCTGAATTTAAAATTACTTTCTGACTAGAAAATGGTATTTCAACATTTTACTACTCTTTCTACAGCAAAAGCATTCTTAATGTTTTTTTTAAATGTCAGAGCGTTTTTGGAGTGAAGCTTATGCTCCCAATTTTTTAATTGCTTCAAATTATTTTGGATCCTTTTGCACTGTTTCCTTGGTAACAGCAGGATATTTAGTACATAAGACTGTCTGAAATAATTTTATGTATTTTTTTTTCCTTTTAAAAATGTAGATAATTGCTATGCATGTCAAGGTAATTATTAAGTGAAATCTTTGTATTTTCAGAAAGCCAAAAAGAATTCAGGAAGATGATGATGATGATGATGGCTTTTTTGGGCCCGGTCTTCCTCCTGGATTTAAAAAACAGGATGATTCTCCAGAGAGGTAATTAAAATGGAATTAGATTCAGGTTCTTTTCCTTAAAACACAATTATTTTAGATAAAATATTTTGTGGTGCTATTACAGAACACTTCAGTTGTGCACTTCAGATTCAGATGATTAGAATTGCTTCCTCCACAGTCTGAGAGCAGGAACAGCATTCTCTTGAAACAGAACACACGGTTCTCCTGGTCCTGGTTGGAAAGTTGGAGAGAAAAAGAAAAAAATGTGAACTGAGTTACATTTTGAATGTCAGATTTCTTCCATTTCTTATGATGGGTCTCAGTGCAGAAGAGACAAATTACAGGTACAAAGGCCCATAGTTCTGTAGTTTATTGTGGGCTGTGAATGGAGTAGGGCAGTTAGCTTTTGTGTGGTGCAATACAATGCAGACTATTGGAAGTGTCATTTGGTAATGCACCAAGGATTAGTTTTTTACCTAGAGACACCTAAATAATGATCTGAACAGTGTAGGTTTCTAGAAAGCAAGCTGTCAGGTCTAAGCAAATAAGCATTATTTATAGCCTCTATCGGGAATCTTTCCATTTGATTGCACGCAATTATAAAATACTTGCCCAAAAAAAGTATTTATGGATTTTTCTATGCAGAATTTAGAGTTCTGTATCTTGTAGCCTTCTAGTCGTTACATCAATCTATGCATGTCCTCGTATAATTTGAAATTATAATCCGTAGTGAAACTGGTACGTCCAAGGGGATGCTTATTGATGAAAAGTACAAGAGAGTCCCTTGATCACTATTATCTTCCTTAGAGCAACAGGGAGCTGGTAGATAAAATAAATCAATACTTATCTGTCAGGTATAAGTTTTCAGTTCTAGGGAAGTGATTCATTTTGTTGTCAAGCTGCGTATGCAGTATACCATCTCAAAGGAAATTTCAAAGTTGAATTTTTTTTAGTTTGGATAAATTTTTATGGTGCTTGGCAGCAGTTAGGAAAGAAAGAATTTATGTAACTTCAGGCTATTTGGAAGAATTCTCTTTATCTGTTGGGTCATGCTTTATTGTAATCAACAAACTCTTTTGTAATTGTGGATATAATTCTTAGTGGGCTCATTTGGTGCTTTGATGATCCCAAGAGTAACATATTTTCTTTTTGTTACGTTTCATATACATCATGTGTTATTTTAATTACAAAATTTAGGAAGTCACTAAAAATAATGTGATCTGTAATAAAGCAAATAAATGCTTGTCGCTTTTAGCATCAGTGGAGGTAGCTTTCTTGATTTTTGACATGAATGCTCTTCTGGTAAAATGTTATGTCAAAGAGTAAAAAAAGGAAAAGGGGAAGAGGCAACTTGTAGTTTGAAGGGTAGAGAGACGAGCGGTAACGCAGCTGGTCACCCATCATATAATCTCACAGGTAATTAACAGTAGAACGAGAGGGAACGGCTTCAAGCTCCAACAGGGTAGGTTTAGATTGAACATGAGGAAGGAATTTTTCACTGAAAGAGTGACAGGGCATTGGAACAGGCTGCCCAGGGAGGTGGTGGAGTCACCATCCCTGGCTGTGTTTAAGGGCCGTTTAGATGCAGTGCTAAGGGACCTGGTGTAGGGGAGGACTTTGTAGAGTAGGGTAGATGGTTGGACTCGATGATCCCAAGGGTCTCTTCCAACCTCAATGATTCTATGATTCTATGATTCTATGATCTTAGTCTTTTGTATGTTCACCCAAATGTAGCAGTTTATGGTGGGTAACTTGCATTTACATTCAGAGGGCAAGAATCTGCTCTGTGTCTGTGAGTATGAGAGATTAAAGCAATAAAAAGCACTTGCTAGTTTTGGGGAGGGTTTTTTTTTGTTCTAGCTCACCATACTCCTAGCAGGCACCGAGAAAGCAGATTGAGAGGAGCTGTTTTCCAGCCAGCCCCATTCCCTGAATAGGTGGGAAAGGTGTGATGTGTGGGAAGAGCCGTGTCTGTCTTCCACCCCCGTACACCTGGCAGTCTGGTTGTGCTGAGACACAATGCTGTTAACTGTCTCCCTGCTGCATTGCCCTTCGCCTGGAGCAGACTGGCAGCTGACAATCTAGCCATGAATAATTGAAACGAGTGCAGGCTGTTTGTTTCAGCGTATGGCCATACTGTTTATTAGCTCTGTGGGACATACTCTTTCTTTTTAGAAAAGCTTTTGTTCTGTCGCATATTTTCCAGACTTGTCGAAGCAGCGTATTTGTGATTAGGAGCAGGCAATTTGAAGTTTATTAAAAATTGTTTGAATCGTTCCAGCATAAAATATATATATATGAACAGATTTCCTTCACCTTTGGAAAGGATATTGTTGTTTATCAGTGTTAGACAGAAGTGCAGCACTAGTAAATATTCCCGAAGTATTCACACATCGAGGTAAAGAGCAAAGGTTATCTCAAAAAAAATTTTATGTTGTACATCAGAAGAATGCTGAAATGCTCATCTTGAAACATGTATTAGCAAGGATTCCAAGTCCAAGGACAGGAAAGCATTCTTTGCTGTATATGAAATCCAATATTCCTTAAATGAAAGCTTAACTCATGATAAGCTTGGGGTGTTTTTTTTTTAATGTGTATAGATAAGTACCGCAGCTGCCAACAGCAGAAAAATATGTTTAACAGAGTTTTATTTAGATTCACTTCACCTGTTCAGAGAGCCTTTGGACATCCAGGAAACTGTCAAGAATCATGTCGACTGTGTGCTGCTGAGGAAAGACCTGAACAACAGGGTTATTCATGTGCAGAAAAAAAAGCATAGAAATGGAAAGCGTGGGAAGGATGACTATGGGAACCATTTTTGTGTTCCTTGGAAGAGCCTTTGAGCTGTGGCAGAAGCCAGGCAGTGTATTTGAGATCTGTTCTTTTTCACAAGTTGCACGGATACGGCCCACAACATAGATGTTCTTATATATTTTAGTAGAAAGCTTTTTTTATAGCTTGATTTAACTGTCTATCCGTGCAAAATAAAGGTACTTGTATACCAAAATAAAAGATTATTTTGACCATATTTATATAGGTTTAAATCCAGTCTCTGTGACTTACAGTGGGAATTTAAAATATGGCCTTGACAAGAAAGCAGTCAGAACGGACCAGAGGAAAAGAAAAGCTGTTTCTATTTTGCAGCAGCTAGGTGGGAGTGGGACTTCAAACACACTGCCCGTGTTTGAACTCGCACCAGTGCCCTTGTCCTGGCCTGAGCTCACATTCATTGCTTGTGTCTTTTTATCTGTGGTTGGCTTTCTGGCAGGACTTCCTGCTTTTTCCCCTTTTCAAATCCTGACAATAATATCACTACAGCAGGGCTGTGCTGATTAGATTACATGGGATTTAGTAGAAGACCGTAATTAGCATAATTCAATTCCTGTTGTGTTACGTTTGATTGCCCTAAAGCTCAGAAACTGAAGATCATAATAAACAAAGTCTCGGCTGATACATTGTGAGCATACTGTCACTTGGATATTTCTTTAGGTGATAATTGGTTGGGGTTTTAATTAGCTTTTATAAGCTTTAAAGAATATGATGGTGGAGTATTAAGAGGAAGTCATATACAGAAGTCTTTTCAGTATTGAAAGCACAGTTTGTAATGTGCTTTGAACTGTTTTTACCACTGAAAAGAGATTCTCACCTTTCTTTCTGTGCGCCTGGAGACAATTGAATTATGCTGCTTGCAGAGTTGCTATGTGAAAACAAATTAGTGAAGTTACCTGGCATCACAAAGCTTTTATTATCTCATCCCCACTCCGAGGGAAAATAAACTTAAAATGAGAGGAGTTCACTGATTCTGTTTATTGAAGGATGGTGAAACTGTGGTGCAAGGCAAGAATGAGCAAAATTGGCTTTGTTACTAGAGAGAGAGTAGCATGTATTTGACCTCCTACCTTTCGTTGTTCTTGAATCTGGTGAAGGAAGCTAGGGAAGGAAAAAGTGGATTTCCTTGACTGAGTGCTGCAACTTTCCTGATTTTCTTGCATCCCAGCTCTGTGCAGAGGTCCTCCTGGAAAACCAATAAACTTACTCAGTTATTTCTATGGTGTGTGCATAGGGGGCACACTTGGCACGGGAGGAACCGGAGTCACTTCTCATCAACATTTGGTTTTTATTTTTATACTAATCTGTTACATTTTTTTCCCCGCAGCAAACAGTGGAAGGATGTCGTTTAATGTACTGTCCATGTTGGGTATGTTACTGCCTTTTTTCAACCACGATTTTCTTTTTTTTTTTTTTTTTTTTTTTCCCCCCCAAGGCCCATTATAGGTCCTGCATTACCGCCTGGCTTTAGGAAACCTTCGCAGGACACCGGGAATAGCAGATGTGCCATAGGACCGTCTGTTTCATCAGAATTCCAAACCCAGGTTTGTGAAAACAGAAGCCTTTTGTTTTTGTAGAAGCTGTCTGAAATGCTTAAACAAGTAGGAGCCTGAAAAAGTCTCCTAGACATACTTGTTAGCCTGACGGTTTAATTTTAGACCAGAAAGTGTCTGGCATATTTTTGCCTGAGTCAAATACTGTAGCATAAATAAGCCTTAAAAAAGGAAAAGGCTGGTCTTGTTTGTTGTGATTTTGCTGTTAGACGGATGATGCACTCAATGAACACAAGAGCTCTAGGCACCCTGAGCTGCAGTCACACTCATTCTTCCTAATGTTTTTCCGTTCTTTCTTTTGGTGTGACGTCCCTGACAAGTGAACATCTTGGCAAAGTTCAAATTTTGAAAGACACTAAAGAAGTAATGCAACCTGTTAGAATGAAAATATTTACTTATAATTCAAGCTTTTACTCCGTTGCGGATGGGGGAGCAAATGATTGAGTATTTCACGTATTTTCACCTCGTTAAAAATATTTATTAGTGGATGCGTTAAATAGGTCTATCCAAAATAATGCAATTAAGAATGACTCTACAGTGTTCACTAATTGTTCTTATCATTAGCAAGATGATACCTGTAACTGGGAGTAAAGTGGAGCAGGAGAGCGACACTGACACTAATTTTTGGTTTGTGTCCTGTAATTTAATTCCTAGCCACAAAATAATGCATAGTGTGACAAAATACAGCTAGATGTACAGGGAAGATTCAGCTCCCTAAATGTGGGCCTCTGGTACCGTTCTGAGGGATCTGAATGTTCTGCAGTGGGCTGGCAGACAGGGAGTAGCACCACAGAGAAACATCCTTCTTGAGCAGCCCCTCTTAAGCCAGCCAGGATACCCCAAGACATCAAAAATAGCGCTGGATACCAGAGTTTAGGCAATTGAATCTCTGTCATGCTATGATAAACAAAATATTAATTCCTTGAGAGAAACAAGTTGTGTTTCCACAGTTACTCTGTTTGTTTCTAAAATACGTACATTTTTAAGTTTAACTCTCAGACACTGTGGGACATTCTAGGAAGGAATGAGGCAGAAGCTGCCCTGGAACCTCACTTTTATGATTAGTAGTCGTGAAGTATATCATTCTCCAGCCTCCTACAGGGAATGTTGTCATAATCCTTCATGAAGAGTGATTGTCTGACATTTTTAAGATACTCATCGTCTTACAACTCCAACTAATGATTAAGCAATTTATCATAATGACAAATCCCTTGAGGCAGGGATGTCAAAACTGGTCTCCTTACATATTTTACAAACAAAAAAACCCTCTTTTCTCCTAAATAGATCTTCTAGCATGGGCTTTGTTACAGCCATTACAGAACTTTGTTTTTTTTTCCCTCTTCCTAATAATACTCTTTTTTTTTTTTTTTATCCTTTGAATATGATGAGTAATTTTTTTGTTTATTCTGTTTTAATTTATTTAAATATTTTGTACTCTGGTACATTTTTGACAGCAGTTTATTCCATGCTGACTCTTCACTTTGTATTGATTTTCCTCTTCAAACTTGATGGCAGTATTTTTTAACGTTTGTTTAATTTCATCTTGTTTGAGGCAGGTGGTAATGGAGTGAATTGAATTTAAGACTAATGAGAAAGGAAATGCGACATGCTTCTTCAATTAAAACGCGGTGTGGAATTTGTCTTTCATCCTCAACTATTTTACACTGCAATTTATTATGAAAGTCTTATATCTTTGCATTTTTTATTTGTTTGTACGCAGAGAGAGGGAAGTGTTTTACTACCTTGGTTTCTCAAGATGGTTATTCCTTTTCCCCACCAGCTCCTTCTTTAGAAGAGAGAGAGAATGTAGTCACTCCGTTCTCTAAAAAGTTGAAGCACAGTGGTAGATAATTAGTGAAAGCTTGACTATGTAAATGTTTTTCAGAAAAATGATGGGGGAAACTGGTGTTACCTAATCGCAGTATTTGTGTTTATAAGTGACCAGCTATTTCTCAGCTTCCTCAGTCTTTCAGACCCATTTCACCCAACTGGTCCTGCAGCCATTAAATGTGCTAAGCCTTTTCTCGCACCTTGTGGTCTCCACAGCCACACGTAGCTGTGTCTCTTGCTGTCTCTTACCTGAAGCTTGCCTTCTCCACTGGTCATACCTTTGCTGACTCCTAAAGGCAGATGGGGCCAGCTTGCTCAACGAGCTTGGAGCAGTGTCATTAAAGCCCTCCAGTTTCTGTAGCAAATGGCACACATAGGAGTAAAATGGCTTCTTTCACACCTGCTGCCTTCCTTAGCCCAAATCCCTCTACAGCGTCCCACTGCTCATAGCCTGAAGTATTATAGCCTGAAGAAACTTCTTCACAGTGAGGGTGACAGAGCCCTGGAACAGGCTGCCCAGGGAGGTTGTGGAGTCCCCTTCTTTGGAGATTTTCAAGACCCACCTGGATGCAGTCCTGAGTAACATGCTCTGACAAGCTCTAGGCAATCCTGCTTCAGCAGGGGAGTTGGACTAGATGATCTCTGTGGTCCCTTCCAATTCTAAAATTCAGTGAAATTCAGTGAAATTAGGCTTGAACTCAGTGTAGCAGGATACCTTTCCTGCTCTCCTCCCCCTTTCACTCATTCTCCATTCCCCATGCCCCCTTTAGGTGACTCTTATAGTGAGGTTCTGTGCTCCATTCTTGTATTCTCCACCGAGTCACCTGTGCCTCAGGCACATTATTTTACACAGAAGGTTCCTGATATGTTTTTCCACTGCTCATTGCTCTTGAGCCCTTATCTTCTCTAGTGGTGTCGTGTCTTGGTTCTAGGATGTCCACCTGGTAACCAAAGTTTGGCATGACAAAAACAAGCCATTCCCCCCTGACTTCTTCATCCTTCATTTGAAACTTCTTTGCCACCGCCTTATATTCTGAAGTAATGCTCTGTTCTTCCTGAGCATGCAGCCTTGTCGTCACCCTGCTCCCATTGCTTTGTCACCCACATTCAGGCTGTAGCTAAATCTTTTTGCTAGTGCAGATATTGGGCACCTTGGCTTTGCTTCCAGGGCATTTTGGCATCATCGTTTTCTGTCTAGTTCTTTCTCCGTCCACATTTGTACTGTATTAACTTGAAGGAACCTGTGAAGTTTCTGTACAACCCTTGGCCTCCACTCAAGATGGTTATTCCTTTTCCCCACCAGCTCCTTCTTTAGAAGAGAGAGAGAATGTAGTCACTCCGTTCTCTAAAAAGTTGAAGCACAGTGGTAGATAATTAGTGAAAGCTTGACTATGTAAATGTTTTTCAGAAAAATGATGGGGGAAACTGGTGTTACCTAATCGCAGTATTTGTGTTTATAAGTGACCAGCTATTTCTCAGCTTCCTCAGTCTTTCAGACCCATTTCACCCAACTGGTCCTGCAGCCATTAAATGTGCTAAGCCTTTTCTCGCACCTTGTGGTCTCCACAGCCACACGTAGCTGTGTCTCTTGCTGTCTCTTACCTGAAGCTTGCCTTCTCCACTGGTCTTACCTTTGCTGACTCCTAAAGGCAGATGGGGCCAGCTTGCTCAACGAGCTTGGAGCAGTGTCATTAAAGCCCTCCAGTTTCTGTAGCAAATGGCACACATAGGAGTAAAATGGCTTCTTTCACACCTGCTGCCTTCCTTAGCCCAAATCCCTCTACAGCGTCCCACTGCTCATAGCCTGAAGTATTATAGCCTGAAGAAACTTCTTCACAGTGAGGGTGACAGAGCCCTGGAACAGGCTGCCCAGGGAGGTTGTGGAGTCCCCTTCTTTGGAGATTTTCAAGACCCACCTGGATGCAGTCCTGAGTAACATGCTCTGACAAGCTCTAGGCAATCCTGCTTCAGCAGGGGAGTTGGACTAGATGATCTCTGTGGTCCCTTCCAATTCTAAAATTCAGTGAAATTCAGTGAAATTAGGCTTGAACTCAGTGTAGCAGGATACCTTTCCTGCTCTCCTCCCCCTTTCACTCATTCTCCATTCCCCATGCCCCCTTTAGGTGACTCTTATAGTGAGGTTCTGTGCTCCATTCTTGTATTCTCCACCGAGTCACCTGTGCCTCAGGCACATTATTTTACACAGAAGGTTCCTGATATGTTTTTCCACTGCTCATTGCTCTTGAGCCCTTATCTTCTCTAGTGGTGTCGTGTCTTGGTTCTAGGATGTCCACCTGGTAACCAAGTTTGGCATGACAAAAACAAGCCATTCCCCCCTGACTTCTTCATCCTTCATTTGAAACTTCTTTGCCACCGCCTTATATTCTGAAGTAATGCTCTGTTCTTCCTGAGCATGCAGCCTTGTCGTCACCCTGCTCCCATTGCTTTGTCACCCACATTCAGGCTGTAGCTAAATCTTTTTGCTAGTGCAGATATTGGGCACCTTGGCTTTGCTTCCAGGGCATTTTGGCATCATCGTTTTCTGTCTAGTTCTTTCTCCGTCCACATTTGTACTGTATTAACTTGAAGGAACCTGTGAAGTTTCTGTACAACCCTTGGCCTCCACAAAGATTCTTGTTAACTTAGTTTTTTGAGCTGTTCTCCAAATAAATGCTTGGAGTGCAATGTCAAAAGGGGTCGGAGAAGGGAATGGCAGAACCATGAGATCAGACTGGCAGATACTACACAGCTGGGGGTGTGAATGTAAAGATACACAATTTGTGTATCGCTGCTGTATTTACCTGTGGTTTTGCCTTGGACAAGAGATGCTGCTTTTGGAAACACGGAGACTAAGTATCCTTGTTAAAGTGCTAGAACGGGTCTAATCTGGAGTTTTAAGTCAAATTTTTGTTGTCTGGCTGGCAGATGCATTGGGTTAGGTTTGGATGCTCTGCTAGACAAAAATAATTCTAATCCCGTGAAGCTGAAGTGTTTCTTGATGGTCTTAGCGCTATGGTTGAAAGAAATGTTTTTATTTTTGGAAGGTAACAGATAGTAGTGAGGAAGACGACGATTTCATAGGCCCAATGCCTGCAAAAGGACCAGTGGAGTCTGATGTGACTAAAGAATTTGAACGCAGAGCCCAGAGAATGAAGGAAAAACTTACCTCGGCAGACAGCGTAAGTTGGTTTTCTTAATTTCTAATGTTTTGTTGCCAGAGTGTATTTGTGGGGTTTTTTGCCTGGTTTTTGTGTGAATCCAGTTGCAGTTCTAGTTGGGATGCCAAGTATTTGCAATTGTTAAAAGAAAGAAAAATCCATGATTTCTGCAGGAAGCTAAGAGATTCAGACGGCAGTTTTTGATTACGCTTTTTTCACTCTCTCTTCCCCCTCTATTTCTTTTGTAAAGGATGAACCCAAGCAAGTTACCAGGGAATCGTGGATGACAGAGCTTCCACCTGAATTGAAAAGCTTTGGATTTGGCCCAAGAACATTCAAGAGGAGAGCTGATGACAAATCAGGCGATAGATCTATTTGGACAGATACTCCAGCTGACAGAGAGAGAAAAGCCAAGGTGAACATTTATTCATTCGTGTACACCTGCAGGCAGCATGTATGTTGTTGATGTTGTGTGGAAACAAAGTAAAGATACACTGAGCTGTTCAATGAGGAGTTCTTTTCCAGATTTTTCTTTGTTACCAGAACTTATTCTTTCAGGCTTAGAGGTAAAGGTAAAGAAATAATGATTTTGAAGTAACATTGATATTCATTTATTCCCTTTCCCTTCTGCAGTAGTCAGGTACTCTGTATCAGCTCATTGAATTTCCAATTACAGTGTGTCCAGTTTCTTGTTCTATCAAGCTGAGCAAAAAATACCAGGTGGCCTTTATCATGGCCTCTACTCTTCAGATTTAATTAAAGTAAATATAGATTTCCTTGCTTTTTACTCCAGACATTCTGATTACTATAGCATGTTATTTGCTTCTACTCATCAGGAAAGAGAAGAGGCAAAAAAGTCAACCAGTAAGGATAATGAAGAAATTGTATTATCTGGGAGAGACAAGAGACTTGTTGAGCAGGTGACTTCATACAATGTAAGCAAAATACTTCCTCCTCCTTCATTTCCTTTAATTCTTCACTCTTTTCTTTTGGTTCTCATTTCTAGCGCTGCTGGTCTCCATGGTGATGCCACTACAGTCTTCCCTTTTAGTGCCCAAACCTACTGCTGTTTAAGTCATTAGAACATTTACCATTGACTTCAACAAGAGTAGAATTGGGTCCCCAAGCTGCTGCTGAAAACAATGTGACAGAATTGGGGTTTCTGTATATTGTCTCAATCTTAGGTGGTGTTTTTCTTAAATCATCCTCATATCAGGACATGGTTGCTGGGAGTTGACAACCTTAATTCAAATATTAGCTTGCTTCACCGAATTACCAACATCCCAAGAATAAAACAGTAGTAAAGGTTTAACTTTCAGGACAAAATATGCATTAACACAAAAGAAGCTTGATGGGCTAAGCAGATCGGTGCATTAATTACATTGATTGATTGCATTACCTACTCATTACAACAGCATTATTACATGAAATTTTCCTCAATCTCTGCAGAAGCAGATAATTTTCACAGACAGATGTTGATTACTAGGAATCCAAACTCCATGTCAAATCGTCTCTCACTTTTCTGTCTGCCGTCCCTGTCCGCCAGAGCATACGGGCTGCTACCTGCCTTACAGCTGGGCATTCCACTTCTTCCCTGATTTATGGCCTGAGAGTATAATTCTTGTCTCCTGAGAGTATAATTAACTTGAGAATTGCAGCCTTGGCTTATATTACGTGATTGAAGTTTATCTGGCACTTTTAATAATTTATTTGTAGTTCATTAAACCACGTGTCCCTCTTAGAGGCCTGCAAATCCAGAGCTATTAGCGTACTGTCTTAAATTTCTGCTGTATTGTCTGTTTCTACTGTCATTGTGAATGTAGTAATATAACTGTGATGTAAAACTACATGTTTTGCTCTCTACCATTGCCAGAATATAACATATATAGGCCTTTTACTGTTTCTAAGGTTAATGGAGTTCTCCCAAAAAAACCTGAAAAAGACATCTTGTTTAATATCAGTGTTTCTTGGATTGTTTTGTTATGTGGGTTTTTTGTTGTTTGGTTGTTGTTTTTTTAAATCAGCTCTCTTCTAATTTTCAGGTGGCTAGTTTGGTTTTTTTTTCTTCTAAAGTTTCTTTTCCTCTATTCTTCCCTATTTCTTTCTCCACTGGCCTTTATCAAGGATGCTTTCATAGAACAGGAGCTTTAGTTCTTAAAATAATTTCTTAGAGTTAATTTGTTCAGTGCTGATGCCATATACATTCTCTGGTGCCATTCCATCAACCCTACTGCAGTTACACCAGGAATAAGTGGTGTCCATTTTCTGTTTTCCATGAGAATCATTCCTTATGTCACGTATGAATTGTTAATTTGTGTGTGTGATAAGTGTACCCACAGGGAGTGAAGGAAAATGAATCTTTAGAATAAAGATCTTGTGTTGCTAGACGTGAGAAAGTAGAGCTGCACTTTCTGATGAAAGAATTGATTTGGACTGGTCTTCTGGCTGATTTGTAATGATTTGAGAGTCTGAGAAGTTGACTACTTAAGGATACAGAAATACACTTTATCTGGGTTAAGCGGGGGGGCACATAGTCTTGTGAGAACTAAAGCTGCTCTGTGAAATCAGCAAAAGTTTTATGTTGTATTTGGGCTGGATCATGCTGAGGGAGCTGGGGTTGTTCAGCCTGAAGAAGAGGAGGCTCCGGGGAGACCTAATAGCGGCCTTCCAGTACCTGAAGGGGGCCTACAGGAAGGCTGGGGAGAACCTGTTTACAAAGGCCTGCAGTGACAGGACGAGGGGCAATGGCTTTAAACACGGAGGAGAGCAGATTTAGATTGGAGATTAGGAGGGGGTTCTTCACTGTGAGGGTGGTGGAGCACTGGAACAGGTTGCCCAGGGAGGTGGTTGAGGCCCCATCCCTGGAGATATTCAAGGTGAGGCTCGACGAGGCCCTGGGCAACCTGGTCTAGTTGGGGGTGTCCCTGCTGACTGCGGGTGGGTCGGACTAGATGACCTTTGGAGGTCCCTTCTGGCCTGGGCAATTCTATGATTCTATGCTCTTTAGTAAATGCTAGTAAAGGCCTTGACTTGGCAAAACACATGCTCTAGCTCAAACCTGTGACTTTCTGTGGGCTTGCAACAGATGATTCAAACACTGAAAAGTTAAGAGCAGACATAAAAAACGCAGTAGTGCTTGAGAGTGAGATTGAACAGGCTTGTCCCTGCCCCTCGCAGTGACCAAAACCAGATGCTTAGGGCACCTGTGTAAGAAACTGGGCCTGTACTTTGACATATTTCTCTTGACTTGTTGTCTTCGTTTGTCTCTGGTAATAATAGCAGAGCAACTTTTATATTTCTTTTGCATTATTTTTATGATTTATCTCATGTGTGTGGAGATTCAACAACATTATTGGTGTCTTTAACATCACTGAATTATTAGTATTTTATTCCCTGTGGACAAGATTACACACACTTTCTGCTTTGTGTATGCTAAAGTTATTGTTCTATTTTCCAGTTACTAAGCTGTGTCATCTTTTTCTGGGATTTTAGCCTTCCTAATTCCCATCTTTCCATTTGGATTTTCTGTACGTTGTTGATACTTTGTAGTACTTTTATTTCCTCTTCCTTCTTCCTGTTTTTCCAGGAGTCAAAGAGGTCGGAATCTCTCATGGACATACATCAGAAAAAGCTAAAGAGCAAAGCGTCCGAAGAAAAGAACAAACCTCAAGAAAGAAGGCCATTTGACCGAGACCAGGATCTCAAAGTCAATCGATTTGACGAAGCACAAAAGAAAGCTCTTATAAGAAAATCCAGAGATCTGAATAGTAAATTTGAGCACAGTAAAGGCAATATGTTTTTATAGCATAAAAGCATGAAGCTTTTTTGAAGTGAAGTCAATTCAACTTTGAATACTTAATTTTTTAAGTATTTTTCTGTAAATATTTGTATGCAAAATAAATACCCTGATGTTTACCTATTTTTCCATGTCTGTAAATACTCTGCTAGGGAGGAGCATATGTACTAAACCTGGTAAAGGGAAGTCCTGGTATAAAAAAAAAAGAAATAATGTAAATTTGCTACTTTAAAACACTTATATATATATAAGTATAGTTGGCATGAAAATTATTAATTAAAATAGGTATTATTTTAAGGAGCTCTAGATTTGATCTTGCAATGGAGTTGGCAGTTTATCATCCTTCTCCTAACCATCCTTAAGGTATTTTTGCTGAGCCTGACCTTAAGGCTGTGGAGAATTCCCTTTGGACTCGTGGGCAGGACATGGTGTGGCTGGAGTTCCTGCTGGGGAACACACACTCAGCTGGCAGCTCTTATGTCGTCCAGTGCTTTTATTTCTATGGTTCTGTGTCTGTACATAACTACAGGTTTATACATATGCAGTATAATCCCTGCACTATAGCTGGAAGAGCTAGTGGTAGCAGAAGTAATAAAACCTCAAGATTTGCAGATTTAATTATAAGATGGTAGTACACAAGATGAGAAAATCTAATTTGAGTTTCAATTTGCAGGGCTTATAATCAGAAAATCCATCTTTTTTAAGCAAATACAATGTGAAAATCAAAGCAAAATAAAGCTTATTTTTTCTCAGTTAATTTGCAGGGAAGAACAGCTCTTTGGTGTCAAAAAGGAAATAAATCTGATATTTAAAAAAAACCTACATCCATAGAGTTCTTTAGCTCTTCTGTGTGTGTGTCGGTGTTCAGAGCAGTTGAAGGGAGAGTTATCTATAATTAGACTTGTGGTTTCATCCCTTTTCTGTCAAGTAATGTTTGGGATCCTTTTTGAGGAGTTACCGAAAGTATCTATATATGAAAATAATTTTATATATAAGATGCTGGTAACTTGTGGGGAAGCATCCCAATGACACATTTTGCATACTAAATACCATGGGGTTCACTATAATTTGAAAAAAGGCTACCGTGACAGACGGTGTCTGGGTTGGTTCATGTTAATGGAGCAGGGACCCAACGAGCCCTGGAAAAAAAATGGCTAAAAACTTGATATTGTTTTCTTGCATGTGTGTGTGAGCCCAAGGCACAGCCTCCGCGTGCTGAGAAGCCTTGGAGAATTTTCAGTGTCAGAAACGAATGCTCACATACAGTATATTTAGATACTGCCTTTAAAAAAAAAAAATAGACAATTTATTTTGCATTTATTTGTAATTTATCTGCTACCTTCGGGAGGAAGAGGGACTATCTTTGTGTTGTGTTTGGCTTTTTAATCAGTTCTGAGTTTCTGAACCTTTTCTTTTTGAGGTGAGAGGAGGGTTTATACGAGGGATGTTTATTTTTCCTCGCCTAAAACAGACTTCTGTTCAATCGTGCTTTTTTGTAGCATAGCAAATAGAATCATAGAATTGTCTTGGTTGGAAGGGACCTTTATGATCATCTTAGTCCAACCATCAACCTAACTCTGATAAAAACCATCACTAAATATAGCGAACAGCGTCTCGCCAGGTTTCTACCTTCTGAGTTGTCTCCATCTATAGCAAACAGCGTCTCACCAGGTTTCTACCTTCTGAGTTGTCTCCATCCCTTTTTTGGGGAGCTCCTCTGCAGCCGGGGGTTGAATAACATCTGTCTAGCAATTCAGCAAATGTAGATTTCTGGATTGGAAAGGCACTATTAGGAATGTATGGGATTATTTTTTTTAGGCAGCTAAAGCAGTGACAGGGTGAGCATTGCGTGACTGGCTAAATCTTCACGGTTGACAAAAAATTATCTTCATCCCCACTTCTGGAAAGCCTACTGCCTTGAGAAATCAGTTCATTCTATCTGCTGTTGCCTTATGCTGACAGAGCTCATCTCCTGGGTCCATCGTGCAATCCTCTCTTGTTCAGACAACTGTAGCAGGGACAAGGGCTGCTTGTATTGGGATTTTGATGTTGTTATGTGCTTCGTTTTTGTTCTTTGGTCCCTCCTCCTCCAAATGGAGGACCAGTCATCAGGTGTCACAGGTATCACTCTGCTGTTCTGGTTTGAGCAACATGGCGCTAATTTCTCTATTAATGCCGGGGAACACTATACTTTTAGAAGACTCTAGTGTCTGAATTTGTGAAAATATTTACTTTATAGCCAGCTGTGGTATGTGGGTTTCAAGGGTTTGGTGTTTTCAAGCCTTGCCAGGTGCGGGAATGAGGAGGAGCGAGAAGCAGGCACTTGACCCAAGCTGGGCAACAGGATTATTTCACACCATCAATGTCACATTCAGTATCAATTAGAAAGTTTGCCAAGTTGTTCTCTCTCTCCCTTGGTGGCTGTCATCATGAAAACTCCTTGCCCTGGCGCCGGACCCCTGAGCCCTTCCCTTCCTCCTGGAGCTGTAGCACTCCCAGTGTCCCACGTTTGCTGTTCCCTGCTGGGACTGCACAGCTCCCACTGATAGAATTGGCCGAGTATAATCCTTGTACATTCTGTATTGGTATTGGGATCAATATTGCTTCTTTAGCGTTATTAATGTTGATCATCTAGTCTTATTCTATTAAATCTGTTTATATTTCAATCCTTGGGTTTCCATGTTTTTTCCCCTGATTTCCCTTGCTGTGTGGGGAGGGGTCGTCGGGTGATAGAATAATTGTCTAAACGCCAATAAGTTGTTGTGGGTTTCTCAAACTGTAACTCAGGATCAGAATCACAGAATCTTTTAGGTTGGAAGGGACCTTAAAGATCATCTTGTCCAACCGTCAACCTAATTTTGACAAAAATAAACACCCACACAACAAACAAAAAGCAACACCATCACTAAACCATACCTCCCAGCACTACATCAACCCGTCTTTTGAACACCTCCAGGGATGGTGCCTCAACCACCTCCCTGGGCAGCCCATTCCAATGGCTGATAACCCTTGCAGTGAAAAAATTTTTCCTAATATCCAGCCTGAAACTCCCCTGGCACAACTTGAGGCCATTTCCTCTCGTCCTGTCGCCTGTGACTTGAGAGAAGAGACCGACCCCCACCTCTCTACACCCTCCTTTCAGGTAGTTGTAGAGAGCGATAAGGTCTCCCCTCAGCCTCCTCTTCTCCAGGCTGAATAACCCCAGCTCCCTCAGCCTCTCCTCATAAGACCTACTCTCCAGACCCCTCACCAGCTTTGTTGCCCTTCTCTGGACCCGCTCCAGCACCTCAATGTCTTTTTTATGGTAGGGGGCCCAAAACTGGACACAGTACTCGAGGTGGGGCCTCACCAGTGCCTGGCCCTGTCGCTGTCTCCTGCCCTCTCCAAGGACATGTCTGGAGGCTCCAGGGTGTTGTTCAAGGGGAGGAGAGCTCTGGTAATGGGGGAGCTCAGTCACCCCCTTTGTGGTCCCTCAGTGGGACACGCAGTTCTGATTAGTGAAGCCTGGATGTGAGCTGGGGGCTCATTTTCTCTCATCTGCTGATTTGTTGGTTTTTTTCCCCCGTTCATCTCAAAGATGCGATGAAATCTGCGTTATGAACTTGAGATGGGGGGAGGGAGGGAAGTGGAATTGTTGAGAGTTCAGATTAAGCTTTTCATTACTTTGTGTAAATTGAGCGAATGTTTGAATTGCGTTAATACACAAACTACTCTCCTCTTGGCGATGCCAAAGCGTTCCCTCCAACAGGCAGTAGAACAGGCAGCAACTCGGTAAATTACAAGCTCTGTGAGCTTCGGTGGGAAAGGATGAGCTGGCCTCTACAATTTGGACGAGCTGTAAAGCATTTCTGCAGAAATGCTGGTGAGTGAGTTTTCAGAATCATCTCGTTTGAAAAACCAGAATTTATTTCACAGAAAACCCTGGCTGTAATTACGATGTAACATTTCTGGTAACCGGCTCTCGACACGGATTTAATGGATTCTCTTGCTATTCTGCGCTGCCAGCCTGCCTCGCGGCTTATCGACTCCAGGCACATCAGGGAACTCTTGTTTTGTAAAAAAAAAAAAAAAAAAAATATTCAGGAAGCTTTTCCTGGATATGAAAGGCTGATCAGCCTAGATTTTAAAGTGCTTGTCTTTCTTTTGTGCTGGCATAGGCATCCTTTATTAATACCGACGTTAAAAATTTCTGTTCACGGGTAGGGTCCCCTTCTTCTGAAATGTCAAATAAGTGTGGAAGACAATTCATAGTGAAGCCGATAAAAAGAAGATTTTCATGGTAGGCAAGTGATAAATGGGGTGTTTAAGAGGAGTTTTAAAGATTATTATATGTTAACAACAAAAAAACCCACACTAAAACCAAACACCAAGCCCTGCTGAGTCTGCTCTATTACCAAGGAACAATTAAAGGCAAGACAACTTTCCCATTTCTTTGCATCCATATTCAGGACAAAATATTGAGCTACCATGATGTTTGATCCAGCAAATTTTGTTAGAATGTGGTTGGCTTTTCTGGATGAAGTATGTTTCCCAAATAAGAAGCAGCAATAGAAATGTATTTTATTGAAGGTGCCATGTTGATAGCACAGAAGTGACATGGTTGAAATAGCTTGAAAGAAACACTGAGATGAAACATTGATATGTTTCTGTTCAGTAGGAAAGGGGTTTTTCTCCATAAAAATTTCAAAATGCTCCAGGAGTCTGGGGCTACTTGTGCTTGGAGACTTGTTTTGTTCCTGAAATGTAAACTTTCTTATTTCTGTCCAGCCAATTATCAATTGTATGTCAATTTAAGACTAATAGAGCATTAAAAATCAGAATCTGTGAAAACTTTCTGTCCGTACATCCTTAACTTCAGGCACCCCACCTGCATACAGTGCATATCGTTTCTAATTGGATGATTATCTGATTCTCCAATAAGACACATAGGTATGATTTTCTGTCGTTATGAATGGTGTGCAGCGTTTTATATGCTGGGGAAAAAAAAAAAAGTTATGCGGTGTCTTCTGGCCAAGAACTTTAGATTTTTCTCTTGTGCTCACTAATGAAGATGGTTAAAGTGGTGGAGTTTCCATCTCTGGAGACATTCAAAACCCACCTGGACACGTTCCTGTGCAACCTGC